AGTTTCATTTTGCTAACATTCAATGTTTTCTGTTAATAATAAGAATGCTGTGACCCAAAATAAATCAAAATCAAGTCAACAGTTTCTTTGCAAACAATGAATTCCACTACTTATTAAGTTTTTAAAGCCAATACAATTTTGTCAGGATTACTTACCATTGATTTGGAAATAACTTGATGAATCATTGAGGAGAATGTACTTTATTTTTAACTCTAACAAGGTGTTCAGTGGCACCAAGTCACACTAATATGTTGAACTGCCACAGCTTTGAGAATATATGTTAAATTCTCCACTTCACTGCATTACCATTTGTCACTAATAAAGAAAATTATAAATCTTAACACATTTTACTTGGTCACTGAATGTTTTGAATTTATTATGAGTTTTAAAAACACTTCAGGGGAAAGATGTGTTATGATTTCATCGTGGCCCCTCAGGTTGTTAAAAATTCATTGCATGAAGCATGATACATTAACTAGTATGTAAAGTCATAAGAATCTGGATCAAACAGGCTGAAACACCTGCTTCTCACATAAAATCTCCGTGTAGGTCATACCTTTTTGGAAATGTGAGCATGAACAAGTCCCCTGCAGGTCTTATTTCAGATTTCGTGTCTCATACTAGATTTTCTAAATCTCTGAGACATTTCCATCTATTTTATAAGCAATCTAAAATCATATTTTTCTTTTATGTAGAGTAATGCTTTCTAACTAGTAGAGATTACCCCCAATACCAACACTGTCTCCTTTATGAGTGAATTTTTCGATGCTATATTTTACACACTTATGTAACTTTGATCCTTTTCTCACTTTCAACTCCCACTTAATGGGTTTTGAATAGAATTTCCCTAATTCATTAAGTGGAGCAGCCATTACAGCTGATACAATTACAGATGCTACGCTAGTACTATCCCTTCTGAAGTGAGCACTTCAAATTGAGGATGCTCTTTTAGGAAGTAAAGAACCTTTTTTTTAAGGCCTACTGAGTTTCTGGATGTATACAAATTGCACCACAGAAAGTGTGATACATATATAATTTGCCTAAAGTAAGAGAGGGCATTAAAGTGAAATTATGCTGGTTTATAAATAACTTTTTGTATGTATGATATTTTCTCTTCCCTGCAGATGGTGATAGTATTAGCAGATGTGGGTTTATTGTGAAGCTAATTAAGAGTCAGTGAATTGCTTGGATATTGACTCAGTTTTCTTAATGAAAATTTCTGAAAATTCAGAAGCTTTTGGACCCACACAATCTGGATACATTACTAATGGTTAGCTCCATTTTGCCAATAAGAATAACTAAATGATACGACTAACCCAGATTTCTAGGGTACTATATTTAGTAGAAAGAAAATTGAAAGTATATATGAAGCCTCTTGATTTCTAAGAGAGTTGTAATTATATAAATCTATGATTAAAAGATGAAATTTAACATTCATATCAATTTTTGTGGTTTAACATAAATTTTAAAAAGAACAATGCAATCTAGATGTTTAAAATAAATTTTCAATATTACTATGTTAATTAACTGTCCAAGTTGTTTATTAAAATAATATGTTCAAAAGAATCATAAAAATACAATGTTCTATGATGTCTTAGGAACTACACTTCATTTTTCCTCTGGTATAGAAATGAAATTTCTCTGTGTGTCTTGGGAATTACATTGTTAACCTTATAATTAATAAATACATTTCTTAAAATGTATATGTCCACTTAACCCAACAGTTGAACCCTCAAAACTCCTGGAAGATTGTTGATCAATTTTATGTTGCCAGTTTTCATTGTACTTCAATATTATATCTCCCAATATTTTACAGTGAGTATCCATGCCGATACGTGAATACAGTGAGATTTGTCACCTGTTTATTAAAAGATAAGGGGTGGAGGGTAAATGAATGTTTGACTTGTACAAACCTTATTATATTGTATAATATGCTATATATTATACATTACACATATAATATATACATATATATTTTAAAGTAATTTAACATATTCATAACTTATGTTCTTTCATAACTACATTAAAAATCTAGTCTTTTCATTTATACTGTGGTTTATATATGCATAAATAGCTCAATGTAGGTGGCGCTATGGGGAACAGAAATTTATAATTTAGTAAAGGTGGAGAAATAATCCATTTGGGAATTTATTTAGCATTAATGACATGCTTGAATATCTTAGTATTAAATAAAGTAAAGCAAAACAAAAAGGAAGAAAAAAGAAAGAAGGTAGAAGAGAGGAAAAAGAAAACGAAAGAACGGTGAATTAGAGGGACAAAAAGAAACAGGGAAAGGAAATCTACAAATGTATGTACAGAAGTTCATGAAAAGGTAGAAACTGTGAAATGCCTTTTCTTTCAAAATTTACCTGAGTTCACAGAAAAAAAAATGTGTGAAGGACTAGAGAACTTCACATGTAAAATTTCTTCTCCACTGAATGATACAATGTACTGAATAAATAATAAGTTAATGGTTTACATTTACTCAGGATAGCAAATGGTTCCATGTTAGTCAACTGAATAGTTTTTAGCTGAAGGCATTTGATATTCTGAGTTGGAAGAGATGGAAGACAACTTTAATGTGATTCTTTCATTCACTCAGCAAACATTTTTGTTCTATGTTTGAGTGACTAATAGGGGAAGTAAAATAACAAACTCTCCCTCTTCTAATTGAGGTTATTTACTAGTCAGGAAAGGTAGACAAAACAGATAAGCAAGTAAAGAATTTACTATCACATGAAGATAAAGAATTTCAGTACATATAAGTCAAAAGTAATTGGTAGGCTGAGGCAAGCAGGTTATATTGTTTAGGAAAAAAGGCCAGAGTAAGCAGCTTTTCTGTAATATTGACCACAGACTTGGTGGAAGCAAGGAATCAAGATATCTGAGATAAAAACATTACTCATGGAGGAAATAGAAACTTCTAAAATGAAGAATGTGCTTAGAATATTGGGATAAGAAAAGGAGGCCAATCTGGCTGTGGCTTTAATAATCAAAGAGAACAGGAAATGAGAGGCAAACTCAGAAAGGTATCTTGGGGTTCAATAAGACATGAAGGGAATTTGTTTTACAGAGTGACCATGGCCACCATTTAAGTGTTTGAAACAGAGAACTGATACCTTCGGATGATCTTTCCTTTGGATGTGATGATTGTGGACAGACTGAAGGAAGCAAAGAAGCTTCTTTTCCCCTCCGTGGCCTCCCCTAGTCTTCTTTCCCTCCCCATTTCCAACCCTCCCCTTGCCCTCCCCATGCCTTCCCTCCCCTCCCCATCCCTACCCCTTCCCTCCCCTACTAACCCTTTCCCTCCCCTTCCCTCCCCCCACCCGCTCCTCCCCCTCCCCTCCCATGTCATACCTCCTCTCCCTTCCCCTCCCCCTCCCCTCCCCCCTCTCCCCCTCCCTCATTTCTCCCTTACCCACCCTGACCCCTCCCATCCCCACTCCTACCCCTCTCCTCCCCTGCCTCACCTCTCCTGTCCCCACCCCTCCCTGACCCTCCCTCACCCCTCCCCTCCCGTACCCCCCTCCCCACCTCTACCCCTATTCTCCCAAACCCCTTCCCTCCTCTCCCCTCCCCTTCCCCTCCCCACTCCTTCCCTCCCCTCCCCCTCCCCTTCCTTCCCTGCCCCCTCCCCAGCCTTCCCTCCCCTCTGCTCCCTTGTCTTCTTTCCATTACCTTTTCTACCCCTCCTCTCTCCCTCCGCTCCCCCTCCCCAGTCCTTCCCTCCTCCTCCCCAGTCCTCTCCTCCTGCTCCCTTCCCTTCCTATCCTCACCCCTTCCCTCCCCTCCCTTGTCTTCTTTCCCTTACCCTTTCCACCCCAGCCCCTACCTTCACTTTCCCTCCCCTCTACATCCCTCCTCAGTCCCCACCCATATCTTGTTTCCATTACCGCCTACACCTACCCCTGCCCTTTCTCCTCCTGACCTGTCTGCATACCCAATCCTCTCTTTCTTCTCCCCTCCTTTATCCTGTATCCCCACTCCCCTTCCCTCCCTTTTCTTGCCCTTACCCTTTACACCCCCTCCCTTCCCCTAACCCTTCCTCCCCTTCAACCCACCCTTCCCCTCCCCTGCCATTCCTACACCTCCCTTGCTACCCTTCCCCTCCCCCTCCCCTCTCCCGACCCACGCCTCTCCCCTCCCCTCCCATGTCCATCACACCTCCCCTCCTTTCCCCTGCCCCTCCCTCTTCCCCTTCTCCCCCCTTCCCCCCTCCTCCCTCTACCCGCCCCTACCTCTCTCCTCTCCAACCCCTCCCCACCACTACCCCTGTTCTCCCTATCCCCCCTTCCCCACCCCTACCCGTCCCCTCCCTGCCCCTCCCCTTCCCTCCCTTATTTTCTTTCCCATTCTCCCCATCCCCTCCCCCTTCCCCACTCCTACCCGTCCCCTCCCTGCCCCACCCCTTCCCTCCCTCATTTTCTTTCCTTTATGCTTTCCACCCCTTCCCCTCCCATTCCCCTCTCCTTTTTCTACCCCTGCCCCTGCCCTTTTCCCTCCCTGACCTGTCTGCATACCCACAGCTCTCTTCCTCCTCCCCTCCCTTAGTCTTCCTCCCCCTCCCCACCCCTCCCTTCAGGCCCGACTCTCCCTTCACTCACACCTTCATCCTTTCCTCCCCCTTCCCTTCCTCATTCCCTGCTCTCACTTCCCTCCCCCTCATGGCAATCCTTGGACTTCCAACCCCCTGCCATGGCCTCCTCTCCCTCCTCAGCCTCCCTTCCTTCCCTTCTCTCCCCTCCCCTCCCCTTCCCTCCCCCTCTTCTCCTTCCCCTACCTTCCCAATGCCTCCCCATCCTCTCCTCTCCTCCCACTCCCCCTTTTCCTCCCCTGACCCCCAACTCCTCACCCTTCACAATCCTCTCCTCTCCCTTCCCCTTCTTGCCCTCCCCCACCCCACCCCACCCCACCCCACCCCATCCCAGAGATCAGGCACAAATGCACACACAGTCCTCCCTCAGCAACACCAAGGTGCTTTATTGCTCAGGTGCTTTATTGCAGGTCAGGTTGATGCTTGTTCTTACTGCCTCCTCCTCTTATTCTTACTCCCTGGTGGTCTTCCTTGGGGTCTTTTCCCCGAGGGTCCTGGAGCCCAGCAGGGCAGGGCTCCAGAGCCTCGGGCCTCAGGGCAAGTTGTCTCCTGCATCTCAGTGAGGGGATCGTCCACCTGTTCTTCCTCTGGTGCCCCGAAAAGCTGAAGAACAGGGTTCTCCCCTGCCCTCCTCTCCATCCCTCTCTTGTACAGCACGATAACTGAACGCCTGCGGCCTCTGTTGGGACTCTGGTCAAGCACCGACAACACCTGGTTGATGATACGTTGCCGCTGGAAGGGAAGAAGAGAAGTGTGGTTAGTCTGGGCCTGGCGGGCTCTGGTCTGCACTGCTGTGCCCTGCTCTGCCCAGCCCTGCCCAGCAGGAGGGCGTGCACCAGGAGGAAGAGTTGGGTCCAGCAGGGCTGGACGGCCGGCCAGGGGCTATGTGCCAGGGTCCAGGGACGTGGGACCCCGAGGCCTAGAGCGGGAGGCAGCCAGAGTCTACTCACGTGCTCCGCTTCCTGGCGCTCAGACTCTGCTAAATCGTCTCCATCTCCGGCTTCCTCATCAGTGTTCTCCGCCTCTGCGGCTTCCTCATCGGTGGTCTCCGCCTCTGCGGCTTCCTCATCGGTGGTCTCCGCCTCTGCGGCTTCCTCATCGGTGGTCTCCGCCTCTGCGGCTTCCTCATCGGTGGTCTCCGCCTCTGCCGCTTCCTCATCGGTGGTCTCCGCCTCTGCGGCTTCCTCATCAGTGGTCTCGGACTCAGTGGCCTTGTCCAGGGCGGCCGTGCTCTGGGTCTCCGCCTCCGCTTCCTCCGCCTCGGAGCTCTCTGAGCCCGCGGAGCTCTCACCCCAGACGGAGCGCTCATCCTGGGCCGAGCTCTGCCCGTCGGCCGAGCTCTCTCCCTCCTCCGCACTATCCCCCATGGAGGACCTCTCCCCCTCCACTGAGCGTCCTTCCTCAGCGGGACAGCCTACCTCCTCCTTCCTCTGGAGGGCCTTTCCCTGCTCTTGACATCCGCTGAAGGGATTCATGGCTTTGATCAGATTAAGCAGCCAATTACCCCGTTCCCGAGACGTTTCTTCATCCATGCTTAAGGATTAGGCCCTGTGGACCTCGGGCCTCCTTCCAGCTTCTTGGAGCTCCTCGGTAACTCTGGCTGGCTGGGGCAGCTCACCCGACCTTTATTGCATCACTCAGCCAATGAGAGCCCCGGCCAGGCTGGGACGTCACAATGCCCTATTCTGACACCTCTGGGGGGAGGGACGCTGGGCAGGCCAGAACACTAACAGGTGCTCAAACACACCTGCCGCCCTTTCTCAGCTTCCTCAAGTCTCAGTGCACATTTGACGGTCCCACGGTCACCACTATTAGTACTACGTGACTCAGTATCCCTCCCCACGGCCTGGTGTTATCTGGCACCTAAAACCCCTCCAGGCCCTTGGTCAGTGTGAGAACCACTGCCTTTTCCTCCTACAGCTGTGTCATGGGCACCTGGGAACCCACCTAGTCCTAGGCTACTGCCTGGCAACTTTTGACCTCACTGGCATGGATGAGGTGGTTACACACGAATCCCTCCATTTCCCCTTTCAGGTGTGAAATCCATCCCTCCCTCTGGCAAGGATTTTCCCATGTCTGCTGCTCTTAGTTGCCAACCGGGCACCATGTTCATCTCTGCAATTGTGCTGTCTGGGTGTACATGGGACCCATCTGTGTAAGAGGCTGTGCAATCAGGTGTTCCTTCTCAGAAACTTCTCCCATTTGCCCACATGCCTGAGGCTATGATACAGGCCATTGAATTAGTTAAAAATACTATAGGCAGTCACACAGGGAAGGGCTCTCAGAGGAGACGGTAAACAAGGCCAGATAACTTGCTACCTTACAGTAGACAGACACCACTGCACTAGCTCTCAGCCAAAAGAGAACAAATGAATGCAACCACGTCATGAGTCCTGATATTCTAAATAGGTGTGGATCACCTGCAGCAAGCAAGGAGTCACCGTTCCAACCCCATACAGAAAAGACTCACTGATCTTTAAGCATGCTCGCTTGAGACATGACTCGCTTCCCCATTTGTCTCCAATTTGGCCAATTTTACCTGAACAGTTTGTCTTGTTGACTGACCATAGCTCTGTCCCACCTCATGCCCATGTGCCTTGGGAGGTCCCATGTTTTCCCCACCTTGGTCCCATCTCATTTCATGGTTTTGATCTACAAAATTCCCTAGAAAGGACAGGTTGTTTTACAACCCACTTTGAACAGTTTCTCTCTGTCTGTCTCTCTGTCTCTGTCTCTCTCTCTCTCTCTCTCTCTCTCTCTCTCTCTCTCTATCTCTGATAGTAGCTTTCTTTCCCATCATAAATGTATTTTACTCTCAACACCCCTTGTTCCTAAAATTCATTCATTGATTTTAGAGAACACAAACTCATCCTGGGACACCAAGTACATTTAGAGTTTCATTCCCCTAAATCATTTGTAGGTCTTCCATTGAGATCATTTGATAAGGGTAAGGGTTTGCTTTTGTTTTGTAGACTCAGGACAGGGACTCTTTTAAATAACAAAGCTTTCTGCTTCAAATTCTGCTTTGTCTTTGCACATTGCTTACAACCATTTGTCTTTGCCTGTTGCTTATAAATATATGTGCCTTGTCTTTGTCCTTTGCTTATGATTGCCTTGAATCTTACGCAGTTTTGTTAAAAGAATGAAAAATCTAACTTAAAACATGGGGAAGTTTAAGTTTATGATATTTCTTTATTGGGAAACTTTTATTATTTTGTTCTTGTATGTGTTATACTTGAATTCTTTATTGTAATTACTGGTACTCCTTCTTTGACTTATTTAGAAACTAATGCTAGGGAAAATTATGTTAGAACATCTCTTGTAGAATTTTGATATTAACTTCTATAAAATGGGTTTGAAATTAAATCTAGGTTAGACATAGGAAATATACATGCCTACAGTGACACTGAGACTCCTTCTGCCATGTAAACACTGCTAGTCTGGTGGCCAGTCTTGAAAGTTTGGAGGACAGATATCACTGAGAGCGACTGGCACTGACCTCCTCTGTACTCTAGAGGAAATATCAAGCCTGTTCTGCTTCAGTTTCCTGTCTTTGGTTTACTTCTAATCTTTTCCACACTTTGTACTCTCCTTTTTAGAGACATGTAAATCTAGAAAGAAGAAAACTCTAGACTTGCAACCTTTCTCTCCTCTGTTACCTCCACAGAGAATGAGTTTGGTAACACCAAGACAGGGAAGTCATCTTAGATGAGGCTCACATACATCATCTCTGTATCAGATGAGACACTGGAATTTTGTCTATCCAGGAGGACACACATAAAAGCCATGCTCCACATTAATATTTTGATGAGTCTCCTCCGGAGATTGAACCTGAGATACAGTGGAAAGAACCGACTTCCAGGTGAAACCAGAAGGGGCTATTTCCAAAAGCAGCACACATCAGGGACCAAAACACATTTGGATTAGGAGGCTCTCCAAACTTATATGTTGTGCACTTTAAAACCTTAGTTGCAAATTTATAGAGCACTGGATAATGATCTTGCTCAGGCTTTTAACAATCTGTTACAGAAATCTGACAGACAGTAGTTACTCTGCCAGCTAACTCATCACTGCTATAGTATCTGCCAGTCTTAAAAGCTGAGGTCAGTTTTTCCCAGCATCTCTGGTGATCCCCCTTGAAGCCAGCAGCCAATGGAATCACTGGATTGAAAATCAGACAGACAGCTGGATTCCTTATGGAGACTGACCTCTTTTTGTCTGGGCCAATAGAAACTGAGAACAATTCAGGGTTCCTGGCCAGAGCAATTCTCTGGTGATCACCCAGTCTCTTTTGTGGAAATTGGCTCATAACCACAGAAAATTTCCACTTAGCTATCTACTTTGATCTCTCTGCTACTAATCTAAAGATGTTTCCTAAACTTTTCAGGCAGTCAGACTGTCTCAGAAATTAGGCTGAGGCAGCCTCAAACAGCTACTTAACTTTGAAAGAAACTAATAGGGAATGATTTGCATTCGTGCCTTACGTATATTAAGAGAAAAAGAGACTTCCAACTACCTTTTATGTGTGCTTAAAAAACGGTGTGCCTTTATTAACATAAAATATAATTGAGAGATGATAAATATGCTTAACCTGTGTTCTTCAAATAAAGCATAGCCATGTCCCACTGCTAGAAAAGATTGCCCAAGTTAGTAGATAGAGGACACAAATGTTGTGCAAAATTTTCCCAAGGGCATAGAGTAGACTTTCTCAAGTTTGTGTCTTGTCTTTGTCTATTTTGAAGGGGATCTCCTCCAGAGAACAGCCAGAGAAACGCTCTAATGCAACTATTTGCAATAAGCAAAAATCAATATTTTATTATAAAATTATACTTACTTTTTTGAGCACGCCTGCCACAATTAGGCTCATGGAAAGTTCAAGAGCTACCTGGGAAGACAAGATTGCACACCACTTCCAGGGTGCATTCTTAAAGGTATAAGAAGGACAAAACAAGACTTTTAGATATTTTAAACTGTCAGCTACTTTTCAGGAGAAGAGAGAAAATACCTCAGACTTATTATATCATCTATGAGAGGCACTAGTATAGTGTATGTCCACAGATTCTGATTCAGGGGGACAGACATTGTTAAATGACGTTTGCTACCCAGTGAACCCCAGATATTAAAAAAGCTGCAGAAGATAGCCTGTGCTCCAGATGGTGCACTTGATAGTATAGAAGAAACTGCCTCCTTAGTATTCTGTAATCATGAGTGGCAGAGAGCCAAAGAGAGAAAACTAAGAAAACAAAAGCAGCTGCCCTTGTTCTGGCCTTAAATGCAATAGACCTTAAGTCAGATCCTTGGGGCTTCAAGAAGAGCACAGTGAAGACCACATGGCCTGTTATCACTGCCATGCCAGGCCGCCTTAAGCGGGACTGCATTAAGAGGCCCCCACAAGGGTGCCCTGACTCTACTCTAAAGGGTGACCACTGGAGGTTGGGCTCCCTCTGAGGCACAGGGCCCGGAGTTCAGACCAATCTATCAGTTAGTCCAACAAAACTGAAGGGCGTTGGGGCACTGAACTCCTTCCTCTGGCCAGACTATCACCTTTGCCTGTCATTGCCTCAGAGGAGCACTGAGTAATCATGAGGAACAAAAAAAAACCAGCACAAAACTGGACGTTAGTGCATGTCTCTTAGTCCTTGTCAGCTTTGGTCTTTTTTCCAGATAATGCATCTCAATAAATCACCAAAATATAAATTGTTTAACTGTAACTGGGGTGATGTTTTCTTCACCATTTCTTTCAGTTGTCCCTGAAAGTCAGTCAGCCTCAAATCTTAAAAAATTTCATTGTCAATATAAAGTATTAATCTAGTTCTCATATATCATCAAAAAATTAAAGACAATCAAAACTACAGTTTTAGGGATTTATGACAAAATGTGAGACTCCATCAAAAAAGGGACCTAAGTGTCTGTGGCTTTCATTTGCTATCCCTTAGAAACAGTTTCTAAACTTACCTCTGAACTCTAATGCTTAGGCTTTGTTTCCATATGCCTTTGTGTACAATCTTTGATCATACAGCACTTTGATTGAAATTTGCTGCTTCCTAAAAGGTGTCAAAACTCAAGGATCCTACAGATGAGACCAATAACATATGCTAGATCCCCTTAGATTCATTTTAATTGGATCCATCAGATCTTGTCCAGAGAAGAGGCTATATGACAAATATTGAGAGCTTAATGAACTCTACCCAGTGGACATTAAATTACACCACATCTGATCTCTCTCTCTCCTGAAAAAAAGTAAAATTAATGAGATAGTTCATCTTCCAAAATCAGATGACATTAGACATTCTGACAACTGCACAGAGGGTAATTATGCAATTGTAAAAAGTAAAAGTGTACATTCCTGAAGCTTCTGCTAATAAATCAATAGCTGTGAAATACGTTAGACAACAAATCAATGACATGTCAGATTTTAAAATTCCCTGGACTTTAATCTTATGGGAATTAATTCCATCTCCTCTTGGTAAATATGTCCCTTAAGTGTACTTATAATTATCCTGTTGATACTGTTTTTTGGTCCATGCATACTTAGCTGTTTCTTTGCCTTTGACTCCTGAAGCCTGAAAGCTGTACACCCACAC